CCATTTTCTGTTCAATTTGATTCTCCATTCTTGGGGTACATAATCCATTGTTTACCTTGTTTAGGGTAGGCCCGAATCCTAGACCCTAAGCCCTAAATCCTAAACCGGAACCCCTAAACCCTAAATCCTAAACCCTGAACCCAAATCCTTAATCTGGAACCTCCACTTCTGCCAGCAGAACTTGCAGAGACCGGGCCCCCGGCTCCGTGAAGCGACGCCTGAGCTGGTCGGTGGTCGGCTTTTTCCTGGGACATTAGGAGTATTGGGGTAAAGGGTTTAGGGTTTAGGGAAGTACTGGGACATTAGGAGTATTGGGGTTAATTAGTATTGGGGATACTATTGGGATAATGGAAAATAAAATGGAAACTACTATAATGGGATATACAGAGGCTATATAGTGGCTTTAGGGTGGAGGGTTCAAGCTTTAAGGTGTAGAGTTCGGGGTTGCGTGTTGGAGAGTTCGGTTTAAGGTGTAGACTTCAGCGGAGAAGGTGCAAGGTTGAAGGCTGAAGGTCTACAGGGAGCGGGGTCTTGGGCAAAGGATCTGGGGTTTCCGGAGGGTGCAGGGCTGAGGGTCCTGGATTTAATCAGGGTTGACAAGTCCATCCCCAGTACGGCTGTCAGATGTTCAAACCTATTAAGGCTTATCAAGCTCTATAGAGTCCCTATTAGCTCCTTAAACCCTAAACCTCTAGCCCCATACCCTTGAACTTATATACCCCTATTGAGTATTATTACTGTTCTTATTGCTAGTCTTATAATTATTACTACTATTCATTTGATTATTACTATTAGTAGTACTACGGTTATTAGTACTGTTTGAATGGGGTATGGGCCCCCAGCTTCAAGGCCAAAGACATTTGAGGTTGCTTAGGAATCAGATGGGAAGCACGTGGTGCTGGAGAAATATGAATGCCTATATATCTATATGTAAATTCTGGAAGCCTAGGACTGCCTTTCTCTACGTCAGGTCTACGTCTTAAGAACCCGTGCGATGGCATGATAAGTGAAAGTCCGTAAGAGATCAAGGGTTGCCAAGGTTCAAGAACTCGCTAGGGTATGCGCATGCCACATAACTCTGCCATGGCAGTCTTCAGCAGCTCTCCGCCAGCCAGCAGTCTAGTCCAGCAACTGCTACAACATGAGCTGACAGTTGCCAAACATTGCCCCCCATGATGACGATCCTTGTGCGACTGACCCAAAAAATGATAGACCTCCCCAGATTCTTCCATCCTGATCATATGGGCTAGCTCACATGGGGTAGGGAATATATTTGGGGCTATACTAAGCAAACAAAGAACCCCTATGTCCACCCTTAATGGTCCCTTTGCTAAGCCTAACACTGACAGTAGCTCATGTAAGTCTGTCTACTGCCCCGACATACCTGCGCGTGCCTACCGGAAGCAGACAACTCCTCTTGCATAGTTTTTGGGGTCATGTGTCAGACCGCAAATGCCAGAGGGCCATACGCAAGTTGCGTGAGTAATACTATGATCTACCATTCACTGCAACATTTCAGCCCCAAACCCTATATAACCCAAGTTTCCATTTCATGTTCCATTTCTTTCCAATTTGAGCCGCCTTTAGTGAGGTACTCCTGCTCAAAACCTGCACAATCCCTACACTCCCTATTTAATGGTATGATGGCAGTTGCATGTTCTTTTGATTCCTCCAGTAATTAAAAGCTTCCAAGTGCCCTTACATGACCCTAAATACTGCGGTGGTGCCCATCTGATTTTCCATATTCTTGTCCATGTGATTCTCCATTATGCAGGGGGGTGATACATCCCTCAACCCTAAACCCTGAACTCTGAGCCCTGAACTCTAACCCTAAACCCCTCCTAAACCCTGAACTCTAAAGCCAAAATCGTTTTGAGTCGCACTGAGGCTGCCGGCAGGGCATCTAGGATGCGCTGCTTCCGTTGTCGAGCAGCCCTTACTTCGGGAGACTCGGGAGACTCGTCCTGCAGAAGCGGCGAAGCTCTTGTCATATGTAACAGATGTATATACATGTATGTATATATTTATATATTTCTCATATATATATATATATATGTAGTCGAGGGATGAGGGATTAAGGACTTCGGTCTTGGGGTGTAAAGGGTTTGGATTTGGAGTTTAGGCTTTAGAGTATGGGGCTTTGAGTTCGGGTGAGCACTCTTTCTGGCCTTGTCACAGCTTGGACTTCTGCTTACGGTCATGCATTGGGTAATTCTGTCTACCATGTCTAGAGCTTTTCAAAAAATCTAAGATTAAGAACCATGATGTTCGGTGGCGTTAGTCCAGATTTGCCCTTACCTCTTGGAATCCGGGCCTCTGGTCTTCGGGTTCAGCTTAGGACGTTGGGGACATCCATAAACCCTAAACCCTCAAATCTGAAAGGGCGGATGGAGATTCTTCACGTGTGGCCGCTGCAGCACACATGAGCTTTAGTATAAACTCCTAGTATCCCCCTTAATAAGCACCATGATATTCCACTAAATAAGGCCCTAGATAAGCCCCCTGTAATAAGAAGAGTAGTGATAGCAATAAGAATTTTAAGAGTAGTAGTCATCATCATCATCGTATTAATAGACATAGATACGAGCATAGTAATAGTAATTTAAGGACATCAGACTATAGCTCACATGGAGATCACTTTGCTTCCTTCCTCAAGGTCTTTTGCCCTCAGCAAGTGCCCGTGAAAAGGGTGTCTGGTGCGGCGACTGCAGGGCGATGTATATATATATATATATTACCGTTGCAAGGAATCTAGAACCACAATGTTGGTAGTTTTCCCCATTTAACTCCTGTATAACCACCAAGTTCGCATTCCATCTTCCATGTTCTTGTCCATTTGATTGTCCATTCCCAGCCCTGTATATACCCTTCGTCGTAGGCTTCTACATCTGATTCTCCAATATTGAGAATTGAACGGTAGTTGCCCAAAATCAGCGGACCCAATATAGACCTTAAAAACAATAATCCACATTCTGGACCCCCAAAAACGGACCCCTAATTTGGGGAAAGTCTAATCATACATACACCCAGTTTCCGTTTCATTTTCCATGTCCTTTTCCAGTTTCTACTATTGGAGTACTACCCCTGTGTAATCCCGAATATAATCCAAATATGTACCCTATTCACGCATCCCAACATGTACCCTATCCAGGTAAGCTTAAACCCTAGGCCCTAATGTAATCCAAATATGTACCCCATTCAGGTAAGCCCCTTTAGTCCCTAAACCCTAAACCCTAAGCCCTAAACCCTAAACCCTAAACCCCAAACCCTATAGTATGCCCCCTCCCTCCCCGGCCTTCTTCTCCTCCTCTTCGGAGACTGGGGCTTCCTCGGCCTCAGCCTCCTCATCCGCGCGAAGAACGCGGGTGTCCTTAGCTGCCGAAATGAAAGTTTTCGGGTTTAGGGGGTTTAGGGTTTAGGGTTTAGGGGGTTTAGGGTTATATGTGAATGCTAGCTACATGGGTGCCTGTCAGAATTGTGGTTCCTTGTAGGGCCGCATGATAATAGGGACCCAAAAGGGGACCATGATTTTGACAGCCTACCTCATCATCATGTTTCCATAAGACGCCTAAAAATCTGAGACGAGACTGATAGTATTAATAAGAGGAAGGAGACCAAGACGAGTGACTCGCTATCGGAAAATATGCATTCTAAGAGCGGGCAAGAAGATGATATGCTTTCGTCTTCGTGCTCGGCGTGACAACAATGACCGCCGGTGTTTAAATTCCAGAGAACGAACAGGGTACGAAGGCCTGGCAGAGTCTAAAAGCCTTTAGCACTGACTCAAGCAGCAAGCAACTGAACCGTCTCCTGGCCCTTTCGTGATTCCGCTGCAAACCCTGCTCAGCCCCATACTCAAATACTAATGCAAGTCACAATGTAGTCCTTCTAGTGACGCTCTTCAGAAAAGGACCAGCATAAGCAAGATATGGCTTTCAAAGTACACTTCCAGAAATTGCTTCCATACTTAGGTCGCTATACTTAGGATCGTCATATTCTGGCTTATAGAAACACCTCTGCGTAAGTGAGGAGGAGGACTTCGAAATGGCTGTAGCTTGGGCTTTTTCTGTGCCGAGTGAGGAGTTGGGGTCTCATGAGCGGACGCCACACCAGATCAAACATGGGATTGCTTTGCTAAACTACCATACGGGAAAAAACTGCTGACGCAGCACGCACGGCCCTCTCAGCCCTAAACCCTAAACGCTCTTCTTTCCAGTTGTCAGTAGGCAAGGGAGAGATGGATCCCTATAGTAGCCCTAAATAATCCCTAGCAATACGATGTATTCTTCTTTCCTGTCTATTCGTCACACTTTTTCTGCTAACAAACCTTAAGTCAAACCCAAAACCTCGGCCCTACATCCCCAGTTTCCATTGATTTTCCACTCCTGACCCTAAACTCTAGGTCCTAAAGAGTTTTGAAGTATTACCCACTGGGGTAATATGAGGGCTTTATTGGGGTTATATAGGGAGAATGGAAAAGACCATGGAAACTACCATTCAGGGTTTAATGTAGGGCCTAGGGTTTAGAGCTTAGGGTGCTTGCAGGGAGAAGCTTCCGCCGGGCTACAGCATGGCATTCACAACTGGCAATCAGAGCTAGGGTTCTCAAAATGGTGAAGTCTCGCACTACAAAACTTGTTGCCCCCTCCTTGTTGCATTTTAAAACATGACAACTACGAAGTCATGTTCAACAATGGCCCAACTATTTTCTGGATGGAACCCAAACTGCAAGAACAAGATCTTCCCCACTAAGAGCCACCATGTCCTTGCAGGCCAAGGCTCTTTTTCCAGCTTCTCATGAGCTCCGTACCAGCCTACCAAGGCGCTGAGTCTTCATGAGGCTCTGTGGCTGTAGACTCAGATACACTCCCCCAAACTAACATGGAAACCCATATAGATATAGCCCCCTTTTAGAAAGACTGTAGTCTTTATGGGGCCCTTTTGGGGTTTCCATGTTAGTTTCCGGGAGTGTATGCCCCAAAAATTGCAAGCTAAGTTGCTACCTGCAGACGTCCAAGTCCAAGCTTCAAAGCGTAAGACATGGTAGTTTGCATACTAGGGAGGCCCCAATATAAACGCCAATACACTGCACTGTAATCCTTGCCCGAAAAGAAAGAGACCTCAAATTTCTGGAAGCCCCGAATGGAGCCAAAGAGGTTTGTCTACACCACACCTTCAGTGCCCCACCCAAGACCAACACAGCTTGCTATCAGCCTTCTGCTAACCTTAGTAGGCACGTTACGAGCAATGCTTTAATCTAACGATAGTTCTAGGAGACTGTACGGATACAACCTGCGCATAACTTGGGCTTTTCCCTACCTACCTGCCGACAGACGGGCATTCAGCACCTGCACGGCCATGGGATGCGAAGGTTGTGAAGAAAGGTGGAAGAAACTCCAGCTGCTAGGATTCACTAGGAATCAGGAGAGGAGCATTAGCACTGCATGAGCCTAAAGCAATGTCAACAAAATATGTCATAGCCGTAAGAAGAAACATGACATTGATAACCCTAAACCCCCTTCCCCTGCCTGGCCTAAAACCGGCTCCTTTTTTGCCGCCTCTGAGGCATAGCACATGCTTTCGGGCCTCGGCAAAGCAGCAGGGGACTCAGGGGTTTCCCAAAATTGGGGGTGCCATTCTGTGGGCCCTTATAATAAGGACTATGATATTATGGGGTAGATAATAGTGTCCCTGTATTTGCGAAACTACCACTTAGTTTTGGGCCCGAAAATTCTCTAGGAGGTATGAGGGGATGGATCAACTCCGAGCGGTGCAGTCGACTGTCTCCTACCATGAACATGTGCTGCAAGCAGCCCCAACTCTTTGCAAATCAGATCTCACAGTGAGGTGTTGCCACCATTCCAGTTCTTGATTCCAAGCTCGGACTAACAGTAGACTATGGAGCATTGCATGGGGATGTAGCGCTGCTGTAGAAGGCTTGTGAAAATGGGGTGTTCCCAAAGTTAGGGGTCCATTTTGGGCGTTCCCACCAGATTTCACGTTGGTCCGCCATTTGTGGGAATTACAACATGTAAACCAACACAAAACTCGCGGGCGAGAAGCACGCCGCCCGTGTCAGCAATAGACGTAGCCATGGCTGCAAATAAGACGATCAAAGCTTTGGGTTTAGTTTTTTGGGTCTAGGGTTGAGGTTTTAGCGGCTTGAGCGGTTTGCTCTGAGAGGCTTACAGCGTTTGTTTGGGAATGATGCTGTGTGATATTCGGTGGTTGTACCCAAAGTTTGGCGATGTTATCTTCCATCGAGGGTATAGAAGCATCACAACAAATAGCCCACGAGCTGAGGGCAGATCAAAACCACAGGTTTCATGTGAGGCCAGCAAAAATGGTTCCTAGCCTTGTTGCAAGTAGAACTACTTGTATCAAGCCTTGCGAGCAGGTTTCTGATGCACAAGCTTTGGAGACCTCTGAGCATGTGGACTGAGGCTCAAGATCCAAACATGGCCGCAACATCTCGAGGTTTTGGGTTTAGGGTTTGAACCGAACACTAAACACTAAACCAATTTTGATGCTGAGCTCTGACGTGTGCTTTGAGTAAGCTCCAAAGAGGAGACTTGCAGATAAAGGGATATTATAGTCCTCTGCGCCATGCCGAGTTCTGATGGCATGCTCAATGATGTTGGCATGAAACGTACGGCCCTGAATCCCAAAACTCTAAGCCCTAGACTGTAAGGCATAAATCCCCAAACAACAGTCGCGCACGAAGTCTCTTCCATGGGTACAGCGCCTGTCTTTGGCTGCACACTCTTGGTGTTCTTCGTTCCAAAACGGTTATACAGAACTTGCATCCTAATAACCTACGAACGAAGAACCAGATGGAAAAGAGCATGGAAATGAAATGGACAGGGTGATTTGAGTGGTCAATAGGAAATCCATTGTATAGTCCAGCTCCTGTACGAATAGGAGAAGAACAGGAACAGCCACCGCTGAGGTATGTCCGCAGCCCTCAGACTGCCGGCTCGCTGTTGAAACTGTAGAAATTGTAATCCCCCTAGACCTCTAATAAAAGTGCTCTTGTTGATGATTCCTTGGGGTTGCATGCTATGATAAAAATAGAAATGCTCAAGAGACTCCGGGAAAGCTTACTGCATTGGAGTTTAGGGTTGAAGCTACCCAACTGAACCAGGGATTGCAGGGTCACAGAGCAATGCCGGTTTGTAGCGCCATTTTGCTGTTGCCAGCACTTGCTGTCCTACCAAGCTAGTTCTGGCATGCGGAGGTGATACTTCGTGCAAATAATAGGCCTTAGAATCTGTCCTTCACGGCTTGAACACGAAGAGGGTGTCGCAGGAGGCCACTGCCAGCAAACCTGGGGCAACGGCCGGGCTGGAGGAGCCGGAGAAAGCTGCCTTCGTGTCATAGAAAGCTACCTCGCCCTCTCCAAACGTCACTCCATCACCGTCCAGATCCCTTAGCGCATAAAAGTTGCCCATCTCATTGCCCACGAAAACTGTTCCCTCAGCGTCAATAGTTGGTGCGCTCCACCCGTTCGGAAGGCACATGCTGCGTACACCGCGCTTGGTGCGGCCCAAGACCCCTTCCAGGTCACCAGCCTGTAGCAACCCATCCTGGGAGGGGCCGTGGAAGACCCACCGCAGGCCACCCGTCTCTGCATCGTAAACATGAACATCGCAAGTAGCCCCCGGTCGCACCTGCTGGCAGAGAGGCATGACCACCGAGAAATCCGGCAAATTTTTTACTTGTCCAACTGCTGGTGCATTGTTCGGAGGCCGGGGTGTTGTGATCGTCCAAACCAGCTGTCCATCAGTAAGGTTGTAGGCGCTGAGCGTCCCAGGCATATCTTCAGTTTTAGGGTCTTCATCAGGCCGGTGATTGTTGTTCACGGCGTATACGAGGCCGTTCGCACCGACCGCTGCACCACCGTCAGTCCAAGTCCCATTCAATCCCCCGGTCTTCCATACGAGGTCTCCCGTGCTCAAGGTCAGGCGGTAGACCTTACCCGTCATATCCTGAAAGACAAATGAGTCGTCGTCAACGAACAGCGGCAAGAAGTTCCAAACGGCCGTGTCTGGCACATATGTCCACAACACGCCACCTGTGCTTGCATTCAGCGCCTTCACCTTTTGGTTGGCAGCACCCTGTGGCGACGGCAATCGCCAATCGCATGCCACAAGGGCAATACCAGCATGGACCATGTTGAAGCCGTTGTCTTGGCCGATGTTCACTGCCACGCTGGTCTTCCACACCACATGACCGGTCTCCATATCTAGAGCGAATGCATTGCCATGCGTGTCGCTGCTATAGACCATTCCATCGTACACTGATGGCGCATTCACAACCTCTGCAGGAAGCGATTCGTACTCCCAAAGCATTGTGCCATTCTGATCAAACTTTCGGATACCATCTGCAGCTGACAGGTAGATGTTGCTTTCCCCGTCGATTGCTGTCCCATAGGTCAGAGTAGCAAACCTTCCAAGTGGGTGGTGCCACTGCCAAGCGAATGCATCAGCCAGCTTGAAGGGGGCAGGATGCTGAGACACTGCATATTCGGGAAAGTTCCCGCGGCCGGAGGCCCAAAAGAACTCCTCTTCTTCTTTCTTCACATGGTCTTTGGTGAGCAGCTGGTGGGTTTGCAGGACAGAGAAGCTTGCCTGCTCAGCATTTTGGCATTCCTCCGTGCCAAGCGCCTTGCCCAGGATGCTACTCACTGCAAGAACGGAACACACAGTCCCATAAAAACGCATTATCAACGAACACGTAGGGGCTGATGGGGAATGTCAGCCCGTGGCTGCGGCCACGAACTTCGATACAATCCCTTTGGCCATGACATGTTTGATGGAGATTGTTCTTGAGCTCAACCTCCAAAGGCCTCACCCTCAACTGGCAAACTGCGTTACCCCAACTTTCGTGTTCTGCTCTTAGAAGTGGTAGGATGTATTTTTTATTTGGGTATTTAGGAAGCAATGTCGCGCACGTGGCGCGAAGAATGAAGCGGTCCAAACAATGCCTAGGAGGAGTCCCACACGAGAGAAGAGGAGGAATTTAGCTCCATTTTATCTTCCATAGGGGCCTATTTGCCCAGAAGCGGGCTTCAGGGTACGTCGTACTCTATAATGTAGGGGCTCTACGGGGACAATATTGCGGATCATACAGGCTTCTAAAAGTACACATTCTGTGAAGCAATGGCGTTGACCAGAAGCAGTGGTTCGGCGGCTTGGCCCCTCGTCTTCACACCTACAATTAAACCTTGGGTACTGCCCCCACCATGTATCAGTCTATATTAGGGGTCCTAGTAAGGGCTATATATAACCATAATAGACGTATTATCCAACTGTTACTGAGTGGGGGCAGTATCCAAATTAAATCGCATGGTTTAGGGTTTAGGGCTTATATGGTTTAGGGATACATTCTGCAACTCACATGGGGATTTCCGCAAATTAGTCCTGCCTTAATTTTTTGAGGGGACTACAGTACTTGGGGGTCTATATTGGGGTCTCTCTCTATTTATGGAAACTACCCTGTCATGAAACTTACATGCCCAAAATCTAGAACGCAACAAGACAGATGTTGAGACACACTGCTGTTATTTGCAATCATACTGAGAAAGGACTACAGGATCATCATTATCTGTCATTACCTGGCTATATTTTAGGTACCTTAGATTTTCCCCTACCTGAAACCGCAAATAATCCTAAACCCTAGACCTTAAACCCCAAACACGGGATGCTTGTTCTTGAGGAGCAGAGAGCGGCAGTCCAAACACTTGACATCTGACCCCACACCTCCCCAGGGAGCCCAATACCCCCGAATTAACTTCAGGAATATATGGGTTCTCTAAGGATCATTGATGTATAGGAGTGGAATGGAGAAGAAAAAGGAAACTACAAGTACTAAAAGAAAAAAGCTTAGATCATCTTAGGGCTCCTAGTATCTTGAAAGGTATATGAGCCATAGTCTAAACTCCTGGTATCCCCTTAATATACCCTATAGTAGTCCCCTATATAATCCCCTATATAAACCCCCTTTAAGGAGTTTAGACTATAGCTCATATTCCTTAGTTAAGTGGTATTGGGCCCTGTGGGTCAAAGACGAAACCTCCTTTTCGGTCTGAGTAAGTAGTTGATGCTGGTCAGTCGACGCGGCATGCCTCGCCAAATTCCATGGTCGACCGTCCTGCACAAAAGCTTGAGTGTTTACATGGTAGTTTCCACTCCACATCGGGCAAAATACGATCATCCTCACTAGTGGAACCCCCAAAAAAGGATGCTCCTAGTTTTGGAGATCCCTACATCTATGCCGTCCTACTCAGGAAGCGCAATACCCCTTAGTGAAGAAACTTAGAGGGTCATATGAGCTATAGCCTAAACTCCTTAAAGGGGGTTATGTAGGGGATTATATAGGGGACTACTATAGGGTATATTAAGGGGATACCAGGAGTTTAGACTATGGCTCATATGCAGGCTATTGGAAAAGAAGCTGGAAACCAATCCCAATTTAGGAACAGAGCCTAAATCATATTAGGGATCCTAATAACATTTAGCGTATATGCCGTCAACAAATGGTATCGGGCCCACTGGGTGTAAGATCCTGTTCAATTCTTAGGCCACATTTCTGTAGTACATACAACAGCTGTAACCACCCCATAGATTGCCTTCTGCCTAGTAGAAAATGAAGAAATCAATCCCGGCCAAGTAATCCCTCAACCCTAAACCCAGCCGCATTAAATAACCACTCTTCTAGCCCATTCCCACATAACCTACTCAGCACCCTATGCATATATACCGGAAGCAGCAAACCCCAAAACAACTCCGACTCGATGTCAAGGAGCAAACCCAGAAAGTGGTGGTGGTATAAGTCGTCGTCGTCGTCGTCGTCGTCGTCGTCGTCGTCGTCGTCGTCGTCGTCGTCGTCGTCGTCGTCGTCGTCGTCGTCGTCGTCTTCGTCGTCTTCGTCGTCGTCGTCGTCGTCGTCGTCGTCGTCGTCGTCGTAGTAGTAGTAGTAGTAGTAGTAGTCGTGGTGGTGGTAGTAGTAGTGGTGGTAGTAGTAGTAGTAGTAGTACGACGCGTAGTAGGAGGAGTAGTAGTATTTGTAGTAGTAGGAGTAGTAGCCGTAGAAATAATAGGCAGTAGGTAGAAAGTGGAAGGGGTATGCAGATACAGTACGTAGCATGTAGCACGTAGCATGTAGCGCGTAGCACGTAGTATGTAGTACAGATGAAGGTAGTGGTAGTAGCCAGATAAGGAGAAGCAGCAGGAATAGCAAGAGTACCAGAAGCAGGATATTGATATACGCCCCTCCTTACCCCCAAGGGATGATGTAGGGCTTTTGTATTCCAATTATTTCTAGGGTTCCCAAAAGCTACCCATTAGAGTCTGCGCTCGTGAGGGTCTCTGTAGGGCTTCAGGGCTGGAACTGTTACGGCCAGAGTCTTGTGGCAGAGTTCAGATGCTTCCTAACTTCACTGGCAAGTCTGGAACAAATCCCTAAACACAAAACCATTTTATTTTCCATTATCCCAATACAAACCCATTATAAACCATAAATAGTGGTTTCCATCTTATTTTCCATTATCTCGATATAAGCCCCCCTAAACACAAAACCCTTAGGCTCAACTGTGCAGAAATGAGACGATGACTTCAACACAAGTGCAGCCAGCCATTTTGCAGCAATATTCTGGCTGTGACCAGCACTTGCTCTGCTACCGAGATCTGGCTGGCATGCGGGGGTGATACTACGTGCAAATAATAGGCCTTAGAATCTGTGCTTCACTGCTTGAACACGAAGAGG